AGACAAAGTGCGCACATTGCTGCGGTTCTTTTTCCTGCACTCGGGCTTCGTCTGAGGTGGAAAGCGAAGAAAGCTCAGAGAGCAAGGAAAGCAGTCTAATGAAAATTTAAGTGGTGCATGCTTGATTTAGCAAATGAGCTGGCTGGCAGGCAGGCAGGCAGTCAAGTCTCAAGTGGCCACCAAGTCGAAAAATAACGTAATTTTCGAATTAATTAAATGCCGCTTATGGAACTCCTATCGTGTGTTTATTACCAAATCGAGCGGGGGCCTAAAAGGTTTTCTCCTCCAGTCCCCAACCGCTAAAGTTCCATAAATCTGCCTATAAGCACGCCTAATCTCTGGCCAGATTCCTTGGACACCCACTGTGGTGCGCCGTTTGAATGCAAAGGATGTCTGTGCCGAGTGGGTGCTGTGCCGAGCTGCGGTTAGTGCCAGTCTCTGGTCTCTCTGGTTTCTCTGGTCTATGGCCTTTGGTCTCCCGGTCTCGGCGGAAGTTCGGACTGTCTCTCATCTCAAGGCTGGCCATAACCTTTGACCCATTAAGATAAGCGGAGGCCGTAAACGTGGCCCACAAACAAAGCGACGAAAATGAATTATTTGGCTGGCCAGTTGGCTTTCCCTCATCCCCCACCGCGTGCACAAGGCGATAAGCTGTTAAGGGGGGAAGGGGAGATTTGCACCCCGAATAAATATGGTTTGTAGAAAATATATTTCATAGTTTTCTAGTTGATATTCATAGTTATGGAATTTATTTCACTTTATTTAAGGCAAGCGAAATTAAAAACAGTAGCCTAAAATTTTATGAATTTATTGAATTGAATTTTTTGAAATTAAATCTCAGATTTTCTTAAATTAAATATTTGTTTAAAATTTCTTTAACAAATTTTCATTTTACATGATTTAAAAATATAATATTTATACAGAATAAAATACTTAAATCTTATATTTAAAAAGAAACAATTTAAAGTACTATTTTCCCCATCAAAATATTTCCTTGAAATCTCTAATTATCTTTTCTTATTTATCTACAATCATACCCCCATTTTCTTTCAGTGCCCCAGTACTCTCATTAGACTCCTTCAACAAGCTCAGCCATTCTTCTCCGTCCCAGCACCGCACCCCATATATCTCGGCTGAAATCCGAATCGAAATCGAAACCCAAATCGAAATGCAAATCATTATTTTAGCAGCTGGAACAGCAGGCGGTGGGAAACAGCAGCGATGGAAAATGGGTATGGAAAAATAGGGAGGGGGGAGGACGGGGCAGGGAAATTCGGTGGAAGTTGGACAGCAGCAACTGCAGGCTGAACGTGCCCTGGGCAAGTCCACGTCTCATTGCGGCACATTTCGCATAAGTATCGCACTCAGTGAACTTATTGATGCGCATAAATCAGTGGAACTTGCCCAGGGGAAGGACCAGAAAATAGTGGAGAAGCGGGGGGAGGAAAAGCCAAGAAGGGCAGAGCTGGGGAAAATCGAGAGGCAGGACATGCAACTCTCTATGCATGCGAAATCACTGCAGTAGAAAATTAGAAAATTTTCAACTCGGGCTCAGCTAGAGCAGGCGGCAGACAAGATTTTTCGGTTACAACGGAAGCTGTCCTTCTCACTGTAGAGGCACTGAAAAAAAAATTAAAACCAAAAATATATTTTAAAAAATTATAGATTAAGCTTTCATTTATTTAAATTTATTTACTTGCAAAGAACGAGTTCTTAGTAAAATTTTATTTCAACATTTAAATTACTCTTCCTTTTTTATTATTTAGATTTTTTCCAGTGTACTTATTCCATCTCTTTCACACGTAAGTGCAAATCGCATGGCAAGTGCAACATCTGTGGCTGTGAAATGAAGTCATACTGAAATCGCAGCCACCGAAAACGTGACAACGCCGCCAAAAACGACAGCAACAGCTGAAGTAACTTGAGCGACATCTCGACTGGATTTTTGTCCCCTACTTCGCCCTTCTAAAATGGGATCCCCCTTTTACTCCTTCTTTACCCAAGTCCCTGCAAATTGCAATTAACGTTGGACGCTCTAATTAGCTCAAACCATCCCGGAACGAGCTCGTTGACTAAGCTTTGAGTGCATAATTAGCCAAAGAGAGCCGTGCACGAAAATGCCTTGCTAAAATATTTTTAAACATCACCTACTTAGGAGCCAATTAGCGGGGCGGTATGGGGCAGGTGTGGCTGTACGCGGAGATGTTGGTAAAAAAGTAACTGAGGCTTCCCAGGCGCCTTATCAATTACCCGTCTCATCAATCAAAGGCTTTTGCAGGTGTAAAGCACTCGGAATATCTGAGGCTGCCAAAGATAATTTATAAAAAAAAAATAAAAAAGACCCAAAACCAAATGACAAATGAAATACTGTGGCCTGGTGAGAGGGAAAGCAGGCACATAAATATTTTTTTACTGAATAATAGGGATTCCAGAATACTTCAGAAAATGTAGGGGAATAGAAAATACCCTAAAACATTTTTTAAAGAATTTTTATGGCAAGATTTAGGTGAATTTGTTTACCTTATTAATTTTAAGAGAATAGAAAAGTCTCTTAGGTACTTAAATTAAATGTATAATTAATAAAAATATCTTGGTAAAATTATTTAATTTAAAAAGTTAAACATCTTTCTCAGGAAATTCAAGAATAATTTATTTATATTATTATTTCAGTAATAAAATCACAGTAAAATATGTTTATAAATTTCTAGTGAGGAAAATATTCTTACTATATCTTCAGCATATTTAAAGCTAAATATAATTTATTACACCAATATTACTTACCCCAATTAAACAAAAATATTGCCTTACCTTCACCCTTGATGCATTTTTCATTAATAAATTGAAAAACCTCAGCAAAGTCTCTCTTGCCAAGCGTGTGGATATCAAATACTTTGCATTTAATAAATTGAATTGATAGATAAATACAGGACGACCCCGTTCGTAATTAATTCGATCAACTGCAAATAAAACAGAAAATATAAAAAAAAGAGAAGACCCCGCTTGGCATATGAATTTCGCACAAATGAAATGTGACGAAAACAGTTAAAAATACCAACCCGCCTGCATGCATTAATGAGGCGGGGGCAGTCGAATGGCAAAACCAATTTGGCCTCGAATGCCACATGAAATAATCAGTATATAAATATTTTTTTCCCCAGCCGCAGACAGCAGCAGCCCTTTGTGATATTTGCATTGCGCTCGCATATTTCGCTCGCACTCCATTTAAAAATAACTTTTAACTTGATTAAAAAATGGCAGCGAGCAAGGAGTTGAGGAGGGGGAAGCGGAAGTAGCAGCACCAGCAGCAGCGTTGCAAGTGCAAAGTGAAATCTTGTGCAATTAACTTAAAGCCAACTTGACTTGGCCAAATACAAGGACGAGCCAGTGGGCGGGGGGGATGGGCAGGAGGACGCCGAAGTCAGTCCAAGGAGGTCAGCATCGTTTCAAAAACTAATTGACATCGTTGCTCTGGCAGCCGCTGACAGCTGGCGCTGAGAGTCTTCTCCTGGCTCCAGCTTCCACTTCTCCTTTTGCCCCCCTGCTCCTACTCCTGATACCCATCTACCATACAGCCCCATCTTTATTCCCATCCAACCTGCTGTTATTCCCACTATCGCCCATCTGGTCCTGCTTGTTCTTGAAGGCTCGCAAATATTTTCACAGTTTTCGACTTGCTTTTTATGCCACACGGCAAGAAAATCAAAAGTTTATTGATATAAAATTGATTTTTGATTTTTTTTTTTAGCTTTATATTGCATATTTCTGTATAACTTTGAGAACATATAAAAACCTATCACCAACTCAAAAAAATCATCAAATTAAATTATAAAAAGGTTACTTTATTTCTATATTTTCTTCTTAAATTTATAAATATTTTTTTCTGCCTTGGTAAAATAAAGAATAAAGTGTCATAATCCCATAATTCTTTCCCTGTTAACTTGAGAATGTGTTTAATTAAAACCCCCTTCTCATTTAGATAATAAATACATAGAGAATTCATTATCACTGATAAAATGATAAATATTCCATATCGAAACCCATGCTTTTTGTGCTACTAATTAATCGCGTAATATTTAAATATAGATCAGGTCATGCTAGCTGTCATTTCTTGAGTAAACAAAGCCAACCAAAAATATTTAAAAAACTAAAATATAGAAATCACATGTACATAAGCTTATCGGGTGATATATATTTTGAAACTTAGCCCAGGTCATGCTTGTTGTCACTTTAGTAACTTTAACTTACTGATATTTATAGTACTTGTATTTATCAGTTAGCGATATGCTGAGAATGTTAAGCCTGCTGATAACACACCAGAGTAGCTACCATTTCTCTCCGTGCACAACTCGTTCTCCCTTGGCAGTTTTAATTTAATTTTACACCGAATCCTGCACCCTGTCGTGTCGTGACCAGCGCGTCGTTCGTTGCAGGCGCCAATTTTCGCGCGTCCTTTTGCGGCCGCAATGCAGGATCAGTAAGGGAGCCAGAGCTGGCAACTATTGTCAGGGCCATTAAAAAAGTTTAGTCCGATTCGGGCTGGCACGCTTAATGGCCCTGATTTTAATCAGAAAATGAGTTAAAAGCCAGCTGGCGGCTGTGGTGGCGGCATCAGCGTCAACGCTTGACGATATCCTGCTGCCGTTGATTATTGTGGCGCCTTTTGCCTTTTGCCACAATTACTTGCACACGTCGCCCAAGGCTGAGCGAGTCCCCCCGAGTCCCCCCTCCTGCCGGATCCGGCACAATGCCACGGAAGGTAACACACAGTTCGGCAAAAGTTGGGCGCATTATAAAAGTTTTATCTGCAGCAGCGACAGCAGCGGCAAAAGTGACAGGAAAACAAAAAATTGCATTAACCACAGACGAGACTTGGGCGAACATTCATCATTATTTCTGGCGCTGAGATCTAAGGGATTTAAGTGATAAGCCCAGACGTGGCTTAAGAATACTGAAAATGGTATATAGAAAATTTTAAATATAGAAAAATATGGCAAAACTCATTTCCCTTGTTTTAAATTCAGATTTTCTTTTACTGAATACTTAACTTGGACAACTTGTTGGACAACAACCTTCTTTTAAAATTAAAAACAAAAACAATTTAAAAACTTTTCACGCACTCAAAAGCACTTGCGATGCACAATGGAGGGCCCAATCTCCTCGTATTCCATCTTCGAAATCCACATCTGCTGGAAGGTGGACAGCGAGGCCAGGATGGCCCCACCGATCCACACGCAGTACTTGCGCTCCGGCGTTCCCACAATCCTTATCTTCAAGTTGGACGGAGCCAAGGCGGTCATCTCCTTGTGAAGGCGCTCCGCCATGCCCGGGAACATGGTGGTGCCGCCAGATAAAACCGTATTTGCATACAAATCCTTGCGTATGGCCACATTGCACATCATGATCGAGTTGTAGGTGATTTCATGAATGCCACAGGAATCCATGCCTATGATTGAGGGCCGGAAGAGTGTCTCGGGGCAGCGGAAGCGCTCATTCTCGATGGCAATGACCTGGCCATCGGGCAGCTCGTAGGATTTCTGCAGCGACGAACCAGGCTCGGCGGCGGTGATCAACTCCTGCTCAAAGTCTAGGGCCACATAACACAGCTTCTCCTTGACGTCCCGCACGATTTCACGTTCAGCGGTGGTGGTAAAGGAGTAACCGCGCTCCATCAGGATCCTCATCAGGTTCTCGGTCAAGTCCCGTCCAGCCAAATTTAGCCGCAGGATGGCATGGGGCAGGTAGCAGCCCTCGTAGATGGGCACGGTGTGCGTGGCCCCATCCCCAGAGTCCAGAAAGAGGCCAGTGGTGCGTCCGGAGGCGTAAAGGCACAGCGCAGCCTGGATGGCCACATACATGGCTGGCACTTCGAAGCTCTCAAACATAATTTGAGCCATCTTCTCGCGGTTGCTCTTCGGGTTCAGTGGAGCCTCGGTCAGCATAATCGGATGCTCCTCGGGGGCAACACGCAACACATCGTTGAAGGTATGCTCCCAGATCTTCTCCATGTCATCCCAGTTGGTCACTACGCCATGCTCAATGGGATACTTGATGGTGAGGACGCCACGCTTCGACTGGGCCTCGTCGCCAACATACGACTCCTTCTGGCCCATGCGAATCATGCCTTGGTGACGCGGTCGGCCGACAATTGAAGGGAAGACGGCACAGGGAGCAACATCGCCGGCAAAGCCCGCCTTGCACAGACCCGAACCGTTGTCCAAGACCACGGCTACCTTCTCTTCGTCGCCCATTTTTTTATTTGAAAATGGATTTAGGTTTTTCAGGAAGTTTCTCATACAAGCGGTTAGGTTCAGTGACGAAGGATTGTTGTGTGACAGGACCTGGGCCTACTTTGTGAGTTGACTTTGCACTTGGATTGTCTTGAATATCAAAAACACACTTTTAGAAATTTTGAAAAATATTTTTAACTTAAAAAATTGAACACTTTAGATTTATTTTTCTTGTTTAAAAGTTTTGAAAAACTTTAATGGTTTTTTAATCCTGAGAGACCTGCTCCTGCTATTGCCCATCGGCGCTTCTACTTAGTCCCCAAGAGTTCCACTCCAGGGGCGGAAAGGGCGTCATTGGCTGAAAAGGCTCCATGGGCTTCATTGAGGGAAAGGGCTCCATTGAGGGAAAGGGCTCCATTGAGGGAAAAGGCTCAAATGGCTTCATGGTAAATAGAGGTGGAAGGGGAGAGAACTCCACGCAATCCGAGCCGCTGCACTGCGTCTGCGACTGGGTGCCACTGCCCGATTGGGACTGAGTCTGGGATCCATTCTCGTTGCTCTGCGACTGGCAGCCGGGACCAGTTTGTGTCTGCGATTGGTAGCCATTCCCCGAGACCTGGATGCCATTGTCTGAATTGCACTCAATGGGCGCCGCCTGGAAAGGAAATAAATAAAAAAAAGGTTATGGTTATTCCAGAAAAAACTTTAATTTATCATTAAAAACCCAAACACAATTACAAGATTTAATTACGAAATAAAACAATTTAAACCCTGATTAACTGCAAGAGTATTCCCCCTAGATATATCCCTAAGCTCCCCTCGTAACCCTTTCCTTCAGTCCTGGAAGCACACAGAGTCCAGCGAGGAGAACGGCAAATACGGCTATGAAAACGCGTTGGGATTCCATGTTCGTGTGCTTAATGGCCCGAGAACAGACATCGACTGAGCACAACACCGTGTGTGTGCACACACTTTAAACCGCCAACACAGCCGCCGCTTTTTGGAGAGATAATTGAATGTATTGCCGATAAGGCCACCTTTGATTTAAAATATATTGCGAGAACCATTAGTACTCTCTGGGCGGCTCTCTGTTTAGCTAGACGAAAGGTGTAACTTGGGTCATCGATTATGGATTATGGTGAAACTTTCCATCGGAAATGAAGGCATCTGTCTGCCCTCTAGATGTCCAGTTAAGTGGCTGCTTTCTTGGAAACTAATATTAAAAATATTTTTTAAATAAAATGAAATGAAATTTCGCTTAAAAAATCAATCAGAGTGTGACTAATTTCCGGATCAAGCGAGGAAAACTACTAATATAAATACTATAAAAATAAATTTAAAAGTAAACCTAAGATTCATCTCCGAGTTTCACAACCATTTTGCAGTAATTATTTTCACATTTCAAGTAAGGTTTTTCATAAATAATTTTAACAAATTCCCTAAAGAAAGCTTCAGAAAAACACCTTTTAATTTTCAATGCTCATTTATTGCTTGGAATTACTTGGAATGGAACTGCTCAAGTGCTCCTAAGAGGAAGCCGACGAGGCAGGAGCGACAGTAGTGGCTGGAGCAACTGTGGTCACATCCACTGGGGCGGCGGAGGATGCCGCCACAACAGTGGTAGCATCAGTGGAAGGAGCCCCGCTCGAGCTAGCGACGGGGCTGGAAGCAGAGGGGGCCGCCGTTGAGGTAGTGGGCACTCCGTACTTCAAACAAGTATCCAGCAGATCATAGGTGGCGGCCGTATCCCGGACATAGTTGCTCTCCGTGGTGTTGGTGCACTGGTATTCCGTATCCTGGATGGCCTTGATGCCCATGCTCAGGGTGTTGGCCGAGCTGGCAGCATTGGTGGCAATGTCATAGATCACCGAGACATCGCCATTAGCCTGGAGGTAAAAAAGGGTTTATGAAAAGTTCCTCTTAGATATTCAAGATCTCTGAAGAACTCACCGCACTGGCATAGCAGTTGAAGAAGGTGGTGGTATCGTTGTCGCTGTCGCAGGCGGTGAAGGCACTGCACAGGGTGGAGACCTCACCCTGGTAGACCTTCTGCTGCTGCTCCGCCTGGGCGGTCAGGTTGGCGGTCTCCGCATTGGCCGTGCTGATGCAGGCCTGGTAGGAGCTCGAGAAGGTGGCGGCCACCTCATTCAGCATAGGCAGATAAAGGCTGAAGCACTGGGTGGTCACGTCCGCGGACACAATGTCCAGGTTCTGGGCATGTACCAGATACTGGTCCAGGGCGCTTTGAATCTGCAGCTGGCCATTGGGCTTGGCCTAAAAACGGAAACGGAAATCGTTACTACCGGAAGAGCGTCTACAGTGAGTCAGTTTGACTTTACGTTGGTGGCGGCCAGAACGCTGGCCAGGATTAGGACGCTGCACAGAAGCTTCATGTTTGTTTCGTTCGCTGGCGGTTGGATCTTGACTGTCGCTGCCAGAGAACTAACCCATATGCTTTATATACTCCGGCCCACAGGGCAAATGATTGATCCGTTCGGGGCAATGTGAATGTGAATTTTTGGTGAATTTTTTTTTGTGCGACGGCGGCGGCGATCAATTAGGTAGCATTAAGGCGCTATGCGTAATGCCCAGACCCACAAATTGCTTTGCATGTGCATTCCCATTGGCCACATCGATGCCATTCACGTGTAGTCAGGGTCAAAAGCTGATAGCGATAGCTGATAGCCAAGAAGATGGCCCACCACCACCACCGGAAGGTGGCTTTTTCAGCGGTTCTTTGAACTTGTCAGCAGGCAATCCTCAGGTGGCTTAAGGGCTCACGATCCAGTGGAATCGATTGCTGTAACGATTGGGTAACGACTTCCCTTAACTCCACTATCTCTGGCATATCATATGAGGTAATTAATTGCGGAGACAAGAACAACTTTCTTGCTGGTTAACTTTCGCATGTTTTGGCCAAAAGTATGCCACACGTTGTGTGCGTCCAGTTTGACAGTCACTGGTATCGATATTTGCAGACGGAACCCAGCGATAAGGGGACGTCGGACCTATAAACAAACCATGCATCAATGTCAGATTACATTACCAACTTTGGGCCACTTTACGTGGAAATTTCACTTCGATTGGGTCAGTCGTTGAACATGGAGGCAGCCATTATCATCATACTCCTGCTGGCCCTAGGGGTAAATTGGATGTGCTATAAAAATATCTCCCTAATTATTTTATATACATTTTACAGACTCTGGCGGAGCAGCCGCTTGCCTTAAACACCTTGTGTCACTACCTGGATTTGGGCAAGGAAACTGCTACCAATTTGGGTAATACCAAAAAGTGTTTTGCCCAATATCTGCCAGAGTTGGAGAGTCAAGGGGCCACCTGGTCTCAGGGCTACAGTGGCTGCCAAAAGAAGGCCTCTAGTGAGCAGCAATCGGTGCTTTTAAAGGCCAGTTTGGCTCAGGAAAATATACGAGAAGCTGTCTTGGAGATTACCAACTTTATCGATGAGTGCTTGACTTTAACAGAGACCCAGGAATTTTTCAATTGCTTTGCTAAAATGGTGAGTAAAGATATTTAAAACGAATAAATAATATTTCTTGTATGTTTTCCAGGCCAAATTACAGCTAACAAATGTCTATAATATATCCTATAATGCCTCCGAGCAGGCTTTGATTCTGAATAAACATATGGGCAGCATTGAAATGGAGCATTATATATGCACAAATCGAACGGAGGATACTTATATAAAAGGCACTGATAAGATCTTCCAGTCACTAGATCAATGTCTTCAGCAAAATGAGTCGCATTAAAGTAAATATATATATATATATATTTCCAAACAAATACTTGTATAATCCTTGATAATTTATGATTTAAGTAAGTGTCAATGAAAGTATAATTAGTTAGATTACATTTATTGAGAGACAATTAAAGTTCTTACAACTATAAAGGAGCCTAATCTAAATTCGTAGAATTCTTGCTTTGTAGAAATAGTGTTTATTCCCCCATATTTCCTGCTTACACAATAACAGATAAGCGTTATTTACTCCATTAGCTCTTCGATTTCCAAACGACACTGGCTGAGTTCCCTGTGTGCCTCCCTGAGGTCCTCCATGTAATCCTTTTGGGCTTCCAGGCCACACAGCAAGAAGGTTCTATGCAAGGCATCGTAATCCTCGCGCATTCTTGTATAAGCATGGGTGGCATTATAGTTTATTTCGGTCAGGATGTCCAGGTTGCGATTACTCTGGTGGGGAGAAGGATAATTAGGTATAATTTCTGATATCTGGTAGATAGAAAAACTCACATTCTCGCTGATGCACTTCAAGTACTCCAAATCATCCTCAAACACATCACAGAACCGCAAATTCCCGCAGACCGCACTCGATCCCAGCTCAATCTGCATTCGTTCCAGCTCCACATCCACCTCTAGGTTCGCTATAGTCTCGTTGGCATGCAGCTCGCAGAGTTCCAGGCTGGCGGAATACACCAAAGAGGCATTGGCACAGGCCACCGTAAACTCATCATGGCAGTCATCAAGTCCCAAATCCGGCATGGCCGTGGGCCAATCCACCAGCTCTAGAGAGGATCCTATATGGAGGCAGTGAAGCAGCGATATGGCAAGCAGCCAGCAGAGGCGACAGCTCGTCTCCTCCGACTTTGCGTTGCGGCGTGGCGTTTCCATTTGGCCACAGATCTCAAATGCCTCGACGAACCCAAACAACGACGACGACGACGCTCGGCTAATTGATCATTTCCTAATAACTCGCTCTTGCAGAGCCCTCGGCTTTATTGGCCAGCCGAAGGCCAGGCGATTTGCGACAAGTTCAGGTGCTCCACTTATCTGCCTGCGTGCACCTTGATTGCAAGTGTAGCCGGTTCGAAGCCCTCTGATCCGATCGGTTTCGCTTTACTCTCTCTCTGCCCAGTAGACCAGCGGCTACCGGCGCTTGTCCAGCTCGAATGTGCGAGATATGTCATTAAGCTATCGCCTATTGGCGATAAGAGCTTCCTCTCGAGCAGCGACGTAGGCCTCAGGTGGCTCAAGGGGTTGGAAAAACACTCCCACTAGGTGTAATCTGTTTGTTTTATATTTTGTTTGAAGCTAATCTAGCAATAATCCTTGATATGGCCTTCTTTTGGCACAGAGTCGTCGGTCTAAGGGGTAATCTAGCTTGTATAAAGTCTTGGGAAAGTCACTATTTTTGGTATAATATTTTTATTTATTCACTATATTTATTTATTTATAATATTTTATATTATATTAAATCTTGAAGAAACCCCAAACCCCCTTAAAAATTCCTTTCTTCTTTCCTTTCTCCGCATTTGATTTTACCCCTTCCAAGCAATCAATTCTCTTTTGAACCCAAAAGTATTCTACGCTTTCTAAGTAATATTTTTTATTTGGACTTTTTATATAAATATTCAGGCCTGCTCCGGTAATCGAAAACGGCAAGAATTTTTCGTTTTCGTTTTTGAAAACGAGAAATTGGTGCTCCGGTAATCGAAATCGAAATATTTTTTCGATTTGAAAAACGGGCACCTTTTTCTGGCCGGAATGAAAAGTAAATGGCTTTTTCTATATGAAATCAGACCTTATTTACAAAAGGAAAAAAATAGTTTACTCAGTGGTCTATTGATGTTTATTCCACAACACCATAAGATCATTCTGGCAGGTAGTTATTTTATAAAAAATTTATTTCTGACCCCACCTCAGATTTGACAACAAAATTTTTGCCGTGTTCAGCCAGTTTTCTCGTTTTGGCGATAGGTCGATAAGTTCACCGCAAAAAGTTATCGCTAAGGTTGCCATACTGTTGGTGGAACGAAACAGACAGTTAAAAATACTTATAAAATATAAATGAATACATTAATAACTTTAAAGGACCGCCAAAATGGTTGTTTATAATTAATACTATTTAATGTGATTACTTAAATGGTCCAAATTAACCAAATAAATATTTGAGACCACCGGAATTAAAACTGTGAAAAGTGTGGCAGCATCTTAGGTGCATGAATTTGCTTAATTCTACCATTTTTTGCCTTTTTCTGGCTTAGAAAAAGGGCAATTGTAAATATAATAGGCAGTACTTTACGTTGTTTGCTTATTACCAACAACACAAGTTAGCTGCTTGAGCATTGAGAAACGATGAGAAAACGAAACATCCGATAGCAGAAATTTGCCGAAAACCGGAGCAGCTAAAAACGAAAACGGTTCGTTTTCGCCCAAAACGAAATCGAAAAAATTTTACGATTACCGGAGCAGGCCTGATTGTTATTTTCGTGACAAATCAAAGTTAAAGCAATAAATAGAATTTAATTCGAATTAAGGGTTCTCGAATTTAGATGTAACGCTTGAACAAGTTCCAGATTCCCTTCTGGGCCAAAGGCAGGGACCTGCCCAGATCCTCCTCGGGAGCACGCTCTGTGGTGGGTTCACCGGTGTTGATCGGAACTTCAGTGGTCACAGCAGGAGCTTCAGTGGTCGCGGGAGCAAGAGTGGTCACAACGGGAGTGGTTCCTGGAGCAGCGGTGGTAACAACGGGAGTGGTTCCTGGAGCCGCAGTCGAAGGAGCAGTTGTGGGAGCAGTCGTGGGAGCAGTTGTGGGAGCAGTTGTGGGAGCAGTCGTGGGAGCAGTTGTGGGAGCAGTTGTGGGAGCAGTAGTGGGAGCAGTCGTGGGAGCAGTTGTGGGAGCAGTAGTGGGAGCAGTCGTGGGAGCAGTTGTGGGAGCAGTTGTGGGAGCAGTAGTGGGAGCAGTAGTGGGAGCAGTAGTGGGAGCAGTAGTGGGAGCAGTAGTGGGAGCAGTTGTGGGAGCAGTAGTGGGAGCAGTAGTGGGAGGCAGTAGTGGGAGCAGTAGTGGGAGCAGTAGTGGGAGCAGTAGTGGGAGCAGTCGTGGGAGCAGTAGTGGGAGCAGTAGTGGGAGCAGTCGTGGGAGCAGTTGTGGGAGCAGTAGTGGGAGCAGTAGTGGGAGCAGTAGTGGGAGCAGTTGTGGGAGCAGTTGTGGGAGCAGTAGTGGGAGCAGTTGTGGGAGCATCCGTGGGAGCCGCGCCTCCGTTCAGGCAAACAACGAGGCTCTCATCACAGCTGTCCATATTCTGGGCATAGGTGAAGCGAGCCTCATCAATGCACGTGGTCTGGGCAGTCTGAATGACGGTGTACTGTGCACTGATGTAATTGTAATCCAGATTGGAGTCACTGTTCAGGGTGAACATGGTCTTGTAGCTGTCGGAGGACTAGAAAAAAATTAAAAATAAATTTTAGTTTTTATATTTTAATTGGAGATGTCTTATAAATAATAAGAGTACTTGAAGTATACCGTACATAAGTCTAAAGATATATATATAATACTCTGATATCTTTTTTAGCCTCTAGAACCTCACAGTTCACATTATTCAGATTCAGTTAGTTTTAATGAGTCTATTATACATATTCACTACACTCACCGCATCGCGGTAGCACTCGAAAAAGTCCAGACCGTCGCGCAGGTTATCGCAAGCCGTGAGGCTGGTGCACATGTTGTTGGTGCGACCGATGAGATCCTCGCGCTCCGAAGCGCTCTCCTGGGTGAGCTTGTCGCGTGCCTCATCGGCGGTGTTCAGGCAACCCGTGTACTCCTTGTTGTAGTCCTTGATCACCTCGGTCTGCTGGTTGAGGTAGTTGTCGAAGCAGTTGTTGACGGAGGCATCGGCCCGGGTCTCGGGAGCGGCCATCATCTGGCGCATGGCGAACTGCTGGCGGGTCAGCATGGTGACCAGGTCAGAGGGATGCTTTGGCATCAAAGCGAATCCACTGGTGGCCAGCAGCAGGCACAGGGCAACGGCGAACTTCATAATGTTATTTATAAATACTCCGGACTTGGCTAACCGACGGATCTCGAGTGCGAACTGATGGCCACTGGTCTTGGGCGCATATTTTTATAGCTACCCCGAAAATGACTTCAATGACAGACCATTAATTCAGGCTGATTAAAAGCTAATTAAGTTGCTATCTTGCTACCAAAATCGGCGCCGAGATTCGCGATTCGATCTGATTTCGCTTTTTAATAAGTTTTCTTGTGACTAAACCTCTGGAAATAGCCCGGTTATCTGGCATTGGTAATATGGCCAATATAAAGTAGTTCCATGGCTGCTTATCTGCTGTCCATTTTTAATTGGTTCGTTCCTTGGCCAGGGTTGATGGGTTGGTCAAGCGGCAATTAACACTGTACTTAGCAGTTTCAACGAGGACTATCGTGGTTGATAAGGCGCACTTCGCACTTGGTGGGGGTATCTTTAGTGGCTTGTGAATCACTGGGTACTTTTTAAAGTTTATTTTTTAATTGGTAAAAAAGTGTAAGCTATAAATTAGCTAAAACTGGGTTTTTTTCAACTAATCTTTGGGCATTGTTGCCAATAAATTTTAAGTTAGGAATCCCCTCAAAGTCGGACCTAAGATCTATCTTCTTAAAAATAAGAATTATATGTTGTTCTTTTTTTTTATAAATAATTTATATATATATATTTATTTTTTATTGTTGCTTCGTTTATATGTTTAAATAATAGACTCTAGGCTCGTTGAGTTTTGAACCAAGTCTGCAGATTCTTCAGAATATCCTGAAGGTTCTTGTTGCTGTTTCCGGTATAAATCTGCTTCAAGTCCTCCTCGGGAGCGTCGGGAGCAGCGGAGCTGGAGGACTCTGGTTCGGCGGTGGAGGATTCAGGAGCAGCAGAGGAGGATTCTGGTTCAGCGGATGAAGAATCCTCAGGAGCAGCAGAGCTTGAAGACTCTGGCTCAGCGGATGATGAATCCTCAGGAGCAGCGGTGCTTGAAGACTCTGGCTCAGCGGATGAAGAATCTTCAGGAGCAGCGGAGCTTGAAGACTCTGGCTCAGCGGATGAAGAATCCTCAGGAGCAGCGGAGCTTGAAGACTCCGGCTCAGCGGATGAAGAATCAGTGGAGGATTCAGGAGCAGCGGTGCTTGAAGACTCCGGCTCAACACTCGAGGAATCAGTGGAAGATTCAGGAGCAGCAGAGCTGGAAGACTCTGGCTCGGCAGATGAAGAATCAGTGGAAGAAGACTCTGGCTCAGCGGTGCTAGAAGATTCAGGCTCAGAGGATGAGGAGTCAGTCGAGGACTCCGGATCCAGAGATGAGGAGGTTTCGGGAGCAGCCGTTGAGCTAGTCTCCGTGGGAATGGGAGCACCGGAGAAGCACAGACTTAGCGATTCGTAGATGTCGGCGGTGTCCTCGGCATAGGTTCTCTGGGTCTTGTTGGTGCAAATGTACTCGTTCACCTGGATGATATGCACCTGCTCCTTGACGTAGGCCAGCAGCTCAGAGGCATTGGCCGAGATGGTGAACATGGACTTGGCATTGCTGGAGCCCTGAAAAATTCAAAGAGAAATGGTTATAAATAGAAATTAACTAACAAAATAGTTGCTATCTGCGGCATATCAGCGTGATGTTTGAAAAATATTAAATTATATATTTTTAGCTTATCAAAATCGTACAAGTGGGTTATGGTTTTTAAAGATTTCTTAGAAAAATGACTGCTAATCTTGAGCATAAAAGCAGGATAAGAAAAGCATGAAATTATTAAAGTTAAGCTATTAGTTTGTACACAAAGTTAGCCATAATATTACATTAATTTTAACTCAATTTTCCAATAGTTTTTAAATTAATATTAAATAACCAATGAACGTAAAAACCCTATCCAAACTTACCGCTTCGGAGTAGCACTCGAAGTACTCATCGGCGGCGGTCAGCTGGCTGCAGGTCTCAAGAGCCGCGCAGGAGTCCGTGGCCGACTGGTCGATCAGGGTGCGGTTCTCCTTAGTGTCATCGTTGATGGCCGCTACCTGCAGAGTGGCCTCGTCCAGGCAGGCCTTGAAGTCGTTGTTGTACTTCTCCACAGCACTGTTCAGCAGCGGGGTATAGTAGCTGAGGCACTCCAGGGAGTGGGTGCCATCATTGGCCAAGTCGCGGGACTGCATCAAGAACTGCATAAAGTTCGTCTCTGGGTGAGTGAGCACCAGCGAAGGAGCCGGCACGGCCAGGATTTGGCTCAGACCGAGGGCCAAAAGGACCACGCACAGTTTGGACTGCATTTTTCCAAAGGATCACTTATATAATTATTATTTAATTAACTTGAGGAAATCAGCGTTGTAGTTCCGCCGACTATTGGTTCGCTTTTGGCGGATCCACCTGCCAGCTGCAGTATTTATAGGCACTCGGGTTGGAGTGGTCCATAAAAGCGTGTTCCTACCTAAAGTTTTCCAGTAAAAAACGGCATGTTATTGCCGCGAATGTTATTACCTCGCGTATTTGGCCTATCAAGCGAGCTATCTCGAATAGTCGGGGCGTTGTAGTTATCATTCTTATCGGTTTTATAACGCCACTTAATGGAAACCCGCCCCAGCGAATCGGATTTGCGCAAAAGCAGCTCAAGGGTTCTCCTCCAGAGCCTCACCTGTCACAGTTTTGTACACTTCATCAATGTCAACACTTCCCAGAATCGCACAAAGTATACGCACTCCCAAATCCAAAAATGAATAACTTTCTCTGGGAGAAGTTATCCCATAGGAAAACACGCAAATGTCCAGATAGTGCTGGTATTATGGCACTGGACTTTATAATCTAATCAACTTGGAGTACTTCGTTCTGGGGAAGACACACGTGTGAAGTCTATATGTCTGCTTACCAGTTCGATTCCTAGGAAATACTCAAGTCCCGAACCGATTCTATCGTCATGACGAGCTGTTATTGGTCAGAAAATAAATGTTGATAAGAAAACAAAAACATTTTGGCATTGTAAGAATTTAATAACAAGTTTATTGGTCTAAAAATAATTCACACGATTCCTTAGAAAAAAGTAAGTCTTAAAGGGTTAACTATACCCCTTTTCCATTTATTTATCAAGGTTAAATTCCTCACTTTTCCTAAGGATTTCCCGGGGTCTTATCTAATAAATTACAAGTCAATATTTGTGCATAGATTGAGTATTTTGTATGACTAATATTCCTAATATTCTATAGACCATGTCCACTTGAGCTTTATCAGAGAGTCACTTTTCGGTCATTTACAGGCAACATAATAATTACATTTAAAGCCAAAAAAAGAGACTCCAACACGATGACTCACTTTGGGCCAAAAACTCATACAAATCGGCCAGATAGTTGGCCATGTTTATAGCGCCTATAGGCCGCCTGCCTCTGCATAATTATCAGGGCTCAGTGGAGGACAAGGACAACTTCTAATTTGCATATCTTAATTGCGTGTTCTTTGTGCGTGTGAGAAGGCATAGGGATGCAGAGATGCAGGAACACTGGAATGCAGGATTGCATATATACCCTTGCCAAGTTATTGGCTCCTCCTACGAATGAAATCTCTTACCGGCAGCGAGGCTTCTAATTTGTTTTAATTGCAGTGACAACAAGGCCGCCGGCAGGAAGCTGCACAAACAATACCCAGCACCTGCAATTAAATTTGAATAAAACGCAATGCCTTTCCCATGTTTATTTAAACTGCAGCAACTCCTCTATGGAGCTTAAAGTGCGCTCTCCGGCTCCTGTTTGTCCTGTTTGTGCTCCTCGGGGCGAAAAGTTTCCCCAAGCTGATTTACATGTTTGCCCTCTCTATATCCGCATCCTGCTGCCCCCTTTCGTGTCCTGCGGATCTTTGATAAACTTGGACGACGACGACGACGACGACTGATGGCAAATGCAAAAAGTTTTATTTGCATCGCATCAGGTTGGTTTTCCTGCTCAGCTTACCACCGAGATCGGGTCCAGGGACCCTTAATTAAGTAAGTTGCAATGGGTTTTAGTTTCTCGTTTGAGTTTCCAGATTGACTTCATCACTGAATGCCATCTGTTGGTGCCAAACAGCCTTCGCCTTCTTCCAATTACCTTGACAAGTCACTGGGAAAAGTACCTGCCTTGGGTTTTTGCCGAAAGAAAAGTCAGGTAATTGGTGGGAAATTTTAAAAGGTAATAGTTATACTATAGATTCTATAGACACTATGACTAACTGCCTTGTTTTTGATAAGATTGGCAGTACTAAGTAATAGATTTAGTAATCAATCATTCTGAGTTATGTGATTCACACGATAAGAATAATATTCTAGGCCTTTAAAAGTAATTTTTCGTGCTTTAGTTAATATCTAAAATTATACAGAAATTATTTCTCTTTATTGCAGTTTATTACATTTAAAATATCTCTCGTTTTCCTTAGAGGAGGTGCTTGAGAATGTTATCCAGCTTGTTCATCCACTGCTTCTTCTCCTCAGCGCTGCTTCCGCCATGGTTGAAAGGCGAAACGGTCGAGGGCGGATAGGTCTGAGTTATCCAAGGGGAAGAAGACTGTTCAGGGGTAGTCGTAGGTTGCTCCCCCCTGGTAGTTTCGGTAGTTTCGGTGGGAGCGGGGGTAGTGGTGGGTCTAGGAGTGGTGGGGGGCTCGACGGTGGTAGGCACACTGGTAATTGGTTGACTCGTAGTTGTAGTGGGCTCTGGAACAGGAGTTTTGCCAGCCAGGCAGTCCTGGAAGTCAACGTAAGACTGAGCGGAGCGGGTCTCGTAGTTGCGGGCCGAGTTATTGGCGCAGAGCTGACGGGTGAAGTCCAGGTTGTTGATCTCCTGGTTCAGGGTTCCGGCGGTGATAGAGGCATTTGTGGCCACGTTCTTCACCTCGTTGGAGTTGTCATTGCCCTGAAACGGAATTTTATAGATTAAATATCCAGTTTTTAAATCAAATAAATTCCCATTACCTGAGTAGAGTAGCAGTTGAGCGAGTCCAGACTGTTGCTCCTCTGGTCGCAGTCAATCAGAGCCTTGCAGGAGGCGTACGTGGTGTTGCTCAACTCCCAGACATTGCTGTTGTACCTCTCCAGGACTCCGTTCTTGCCGGCGCCAAACTCGTCATCGCACTGCTTATACTCCGCCTCGTAGGCAGTGTAATCATCATCGAAGACGACCTGATAGTGATTGAAGCAGGCGGTGGCCAGGGCGGGATTGTTGCGCTGCAACTCGTTGGTGGCACTCATGATCTGGAACATCTTCGAGGGTCCCGAGACCAGGCTGGGGTTTGCGCTGCTAGAGCCAATGGCCACGGCGGCCAGCAGGATGGCGATGAAATGGGTATGCATGTTGCTTGCTCGACGGTTCGTTCGTAACTTGGCCTAAACCGGCGTCCGGCTAAGGCTTTTATGGCCACCAAAAATTATCAAGAGCTGCCGTTGATCGCCGAGGCTTTTCTGATATCGCTGCGTTGTTGATAAGGAGTCTATCAGCCTTGCAATCACCCTACGCACACCGGACTTGGGGTACTTGGGTTTCCTTGGGCAATGCGTAAACATCCGGTAATTGAAATCTGAAAATGTAAAATCGTTATCGCACATATCTGATATTGGGAGGTCATTCCCTTGCCACCCTCACCGAACGATTGCCAATAAATTGTTTATATTCGTAATTGGTAATGCCAAAATTCTCCTGATAACTATCTTAGGCCACTCCCCTGCCTGTCTAGCTTGCATAACCTCGATTTTGATTATTAAAAAAAGCGGATGACACACCCTCTTTTGATGTTTGCAAATAATGCGCAAAAAAGGGGAAACCTTGCGCAAAATTTCCGTTTTAATTTTTATATCACAGATTCGATCGCTTTCCAGGAATTGGGTTAATGTCAATATTATTTTTAAAGCAAGATAATTGTTTGACAAAAGGGTAATTTAACTTTTGAATTGGTGAGTAAGGGAGATACTAGAAAAGAATCCAAGATAAAGCATTCGCCTCCTTAACCAACTTTGAAAATATCTAAATAAAATATTTAAAGTCTTACAAAGTTTGCTATAGTTTCTCACATTTATTAGGTTTATAAAAACTGATATAGTATAGAATTAAGCATTAGAAACCGGCACTGCAGACTCTCCGGAAAGACAGCTCTGGAACTCCTCGTAGGAAGCATCGTAGCTGATGTCATAGTTGCGAGAAGTGGTATTGGTGCACAGATCCCGGGTATATTCCAGCTGAGAGATCTCTTGGGACAAGGAACCAGCACTAATAGTGGCATTGGAGGCAATGTTAGCCACCTCCTCGGAGTTGTCAGTGCCCTGGAAAGCAAAGTAAGCTTTAAATAAATCCCAAAACTCCAAATAATAATGTTTACCTGAGTGCTGTAGCAATTCAGCGAGTCCAGACTGTTGTCCTTCGTGTTGCACTTGATCAAGGCCTGGCAGGAGTCATAAGTGGAGTTGCCCAGACTCCAAACAATGCCATCATACCGTTCCAGGACTCCGTTCTTTCCCGCGCTAAACTGGTTGATGCACTCGTTGTAGGCGGCACGGTAAACCTCGTACTCCTTGTTAAAGATCCCCTCATAGTAGGCAAAGCAAGGGGCAGTCAGGCCAGGATTAATCTGCTGCATCTCTCCAGCGACACTCAGTAGCTGGAACACCTTCGAGGGTCCTTCAAAGAGCCTGGGACTCGTGGCAGAGTAGCTGAAAGCCAAGGCGGCCAGCAGGATGGCAATGGTAAGAGAATGCATTGAATTCTTTTTTCAAACTTTGTCTAAATTAAATTTGCAACCGGGCAAGGCTTTTATAGACCCAAAACTATGTGGGCTTTTTATAAATTCCACAATATTTACTTATAATATCTTGCCAATGATGGATCGAATAGATATATTTAAAGATATACACGTGTTTAATGCAAAAATCCTATGATAACTAACTTGGCACAAGACTCCCCCGCAGTCTGGCCAAAAAAAAAGCACCTCGTGTGAGGGTGACTAACCCAACATTCCGCCAGTTGGACGTCTAGAAAAATGTATATATGGAAAAAGGGAGAGCCCCGAAACAATAAAGCAACGGAAATGGTTGAAACTAAGTTACTGGGTTGGCTGATTAAAAAAAGATTGGCAGTTATAAGTTGATTAGATAATAATCGGAACTCAAAGAAACATTGCATGTACTTCCCATTAGCATTACTTTTTTTAAAGAAAGTTAAAACCCAATTTTGTCAGTTATAAATCTACGGTTATCTGCTTCCTATTTGGTTTTTTTTTTTTAATTATGTTTTTAGAGAGGATTTCCCCGTACAAAATGTCATTTATTATTATGCCTTGCCACCCAAGTTAGTTCCGATTAGATCTTTCTTTAGTTTCTGATAAGCAAGTTATCAAATTATGCCGGCCAATCTTTATTTAGTCAGCCAACCTATTAACTCAATTTGAGCATAGCAAGAATAATGATTCATAATGAATATATTTTAACAATTCTTAATATTTAATATGTTTAATATGCATAAAAAGTATGAATAAACATGAGTAAATTCTATTCAAATTAGATAACCCTGCGTATTAAACGTAATTAAATGTTGTTATCAGCACCCTTCACAGGGCTAAGGAGATGTTTAATTAGGGGTTGCATTACTATCAACACTTCATGACGTATAATTGCTGTTTTGATAAGCAAGTTACCTTAACTTATTTTCATCCGAAAAGTAGTTCAACCAACCATTCAGACGAGATAAGACCGGACTTTAGGTAATGTCCAGAAGAGGTTAGTAAATAAATAGGCAACAAATTGGTATTACAGTTGATGCCGTCATTTTAAAATACATTTTTCAGAAAAATTTATAAGTAGACTTTAGAAAAGAAAAGCCTAATAATATTGCTTTTATTAAAACCAGGTTATCTACTTCCTGACCAATTTTATGTCTATATGATTGTCGAAAGCCTGTTAAGTCGTAAATTAATTCTGAGAAGTCAGATATCGAATTATGACAAAGAATATTTATAAAACAATTTAAACAAAATTGTATAATAAACTGTTAGACAATAAAAGCTTTTATCAATAAACAAAATATTATTTTACATATTTACATTTTCTAAGTCCAATTTAATGCTTAAATTTTAAATGTTTGCCATAGCTTTAATATTGAAATAGGACCATTATGATAATAGAAGTTTTTTAACTATGTTTTAATATCTTTACATATTTTAATATAATTTTCCCAATAATTTTACGATATAATATTTGTTCTATAATTATTAAAATTAATTTTAAGATCACCCTCATACATTTAATGTAAGCAATTTTTTCCAGTGTGCCAAGTAAGGAAGTTATATTAATTATTTTTCTTATCACCGGCGAGATATAAGAGAAGTCTTACCTTTTGGATTATTTATGGCGTTTCAACAATGCTTTAGATGGCCTATATAAACTTGGCCAATTTCTCGCTTTTGACCAAGTTACGAACGAACCATCGAGCAAGCAACATGCAAGCCCAATACATCGCCATCCTCCTGGCCGCCATGGCCATCGGCTCCTCCTCCGCGAATCCCACCCTGGTCTCGGGACCCTCGAAGATGTTCGAGATCATGAGTGCCACCAGCGAGATGCAGCGCAACAATCCTGCCCTGGCCTCCGCCTGCTTCGGTTACTACCAGGGCGTCTTCGACGACGACTATGCGGCCTATCAGGTGGAGTACAACCAGTGCTCCAGCAAGTTCGATTCGGGCAAGAGCGGTACCCTGGAGCGCTACGAATCCTATGTCTGGTCACTGAGCAACACTACATATGATTCCTGCAAGTTCCTGCTCGAATGCGACCAGAATAGCAACAGTCTGGACTCCCTCAACTGCTACTCCGCTCAGGTAATTTGGCTAATTAAATAGTCAATTTAGTTTTTAATTTTTAACATTAATTTAATTTTCAGGGCACCAATCACTCCACGGTGGCCACTAACATCTCCCACGAGGCCTCGGTCTACATCGGTGCTTTGATGCAGGAAATCTCCCTCTACGAGTTCGCCCGCGATGCCTGCTTCACCGAATGCGGTCACACCTACGAGACTCGCTCTGCCAAGTCCTATGTGGAGTTCCAGGACTGCCTGGCTGGCAAATCTGCTGTGCCGGAGGAACCTGTTGCTCAGGCTGCAATCCAGCTAACAGCCGAAGTGGAGAGCAGCCAGAAGCAGGGTTATGCCAAGAAGCTGGAAAACCTCTTCAAGCATCATCCTTAAAAAACTAGGGTTTCATGAATAATGTTCAGTTATTGTACATTTTCATATATTTTTTTCTTATTGAAACATGTAAATAAAACTTGAATATATACAAAAAAATTTAAGCTGAATTTTTTAAGATTATTCTTTAGTTAACAGGAAAGAAAACTATACCCTTGTATATCCTTGAAATTGAATTAAAAGGCTGTATTAAGCATAATATAAAATTAAAATATTACAAATAATTATTAAGTTGGGTTAGTTATTAATAAGTTTTAATAGCCAATCGAACTTTGAACAATCACTATCTTTTTAGACCTCTTTAAGCCCTTGTAAACCCTTCAGTAAACGCATTCCTTAAATCGATAATTTATATATTTTTATCTGATTATTTTTTTGGATTAATCAAAGTTTAAAAATGCCATAACTAAGTCAAAAAAGCTTTAGTTTTAATTTGGAAAGCATATCTTTGTTAGATTTTTCTAAGTTAACAAATCTGCATACTGCATTTTATATTTCAAGAAATCAAAATTTTAATCAATTTTTCACAATTTTAACAATGTAACCCCTTATAAAATTTTCAAAAAATCACTAAAAAATTAATTTCCCTCAAACACGTCTCAAAAGACTCGCCTGCTAATGCTGATCAAGAATATATATGCTTTATAGGTTCGGAAATGAATCCTTGACTGCCTTACAAGCTTTTAACTAAAATTATAATATTAAAATTCTTTAAAAATATACATAAAGCAAGTTTCTTAACCTTTTTAACTCAATGTCTCTGATAATTTCCCAGAATAAAGTAATAACCCAACTCGATCAGCTTTATCTGCTGAACGGCTTAACAAAGCTAGCAGAAAGATATTTCGGCTCTCAAGTTGAGTCACCCCCGAGATAACCTTTCAATTATCCGAAATTGTTTAAGGAGTACGCCATGGTATTTCGGGGCGTATGTTTAATTTTGTTTACCTGCCATTGCAGGTCTGCAATTCCTCAGCTGTCGCTGCCTCTGAGCTGCATACTAAGCAGGACTTTGGCGGCCAACGTTTCTGCAACTGCAAAAGGATGCACTGAAAATATACAAGAGATACTGTTGGAAATATTTTTAATTTAAGGCTTTCAATTTCGGTATAGCCTTTGGAGGCTTTTTGTATAATTTTAAAATATTTTCTTGGCTTTCCCTGAAATAAAAACCCTAAAATAAAAATCGTATAAATTTTATTGCAATATTTTGTTCAGTGTGTTCATGGCCTGGCCGGGCTCCAAGGTTTATTTCCACTCAAAGCTGTCAGGACGAAATGAAGTCGAGGAGCTTCGTCTGAGCTCCGTCCGCGTGGCGCTGAGCAGCAGCCGCTGATGGATTGTCAGTCGGGGGAAAGTGGTGTTAAATGGCGCAAAAATAAGTGTAATTGTTTTGTAAATGGCCCCGTAGTAAAACAATTTTCAATGCCACTCCGCCGCGTCGGCTGTCAGTCACTCTCTTTCTCGCCTGGCAACTCACTTTTCGCCACCCTGCTGCACTTGACTCGGCTTGAGTCAAGAAAAATCACCTGGTACAAGTTTAATATAATTTACGACTCCCACTTCTTGGGGCACTGTCAAACGAAGGCATTCCTGTGGAGTGATAGCACATGGCTAAGTGACTAATTAGCTCATAATGGTGGCCTATAAACAAATAAAAATTGGCCAGGAAACTTGATAACATAAGTGGAGGCAATCGAGTCCAATTGGAGTGGCTAAGAAATCAGAGAAGGAAATGCTATATAAAATCTTAAATGAGGAAAGTGCCTATTATTGGGATATGAGTAGGAATAGGAAAGGGAAATTATATTTAAGAGGAAGTAGAGATAACATTAGCTGATTAAACGGAGATTTTAAGATATCATTTTCAAGCATTGCTAAGGGAACTGGAGTATTTTCTGTAGGGTAGATTTATTAGTAATTAAAATCCGGAAGTTAGCATATAATATAATATGTATATGTTTATAAATTTATAAGTAAAATCACCCTTCTTCTTAACCCTTATAATATCTTAGCCTTTCCCTAAACATTATTTAAGATTCCAACCAAGATTCTCCTATATTTAATTTGCAAAAAATCAACCAAGCAAACTGACGACATCAATTTCACACCCCTCTTATCGCTAATCCACAAATATGTCATCAAATGCCGATAACAAGCTTCTCCTTTGGCCCAACTGAAAGTTGATAACCAATTTTTCGATTGCAATTATTGTCTGATAATTAAAAACCAAACAAGTTCCGTCCAAAAAAAAGGGGTGTAGGTGACCTTTAATATTTGCACTGAGCTAAGGGCAAAGAGAAGCTAATGAACAATTCCGGGTAATACATTATTCGATTAATTTTACAAGCTCTTGCCGCACATATATAGCATATAACGTATACGCCCCGATGTCTCTTCCCATTATTACTGCTATTATTATTATTATAAACTAGGAACACTGCAATAACAGAGCTGGATTTTACGATTCGCCATAACAAGAAGCGAGGCAATTAAAGGAGACGCCAGCTATACTCTCTCCCTATATATATACATATATATGGGGAGATATAAATATCCCGCCACACACACAGGCAGAGCAGCCATAAAATCCTGGGCACTGGACACGCTGTAACTTTATGAGGAGCGCGTGAAATTCAATTAAAACGCATGTTCGATATTAGTTACAATGGGGCGAGAGATAGAGGAGTGTGGCTGAGAGTCATAAACGGACTTATTGAATAAAATTGAAGGGCAGCCGACATTGCTATATAGATATATGTATATATATATCAAAATAGACATTGGGTAGCAATGGCAGTGGCAATCATTCGCCCAAAAGCCCCGATAAGCGTCCGTGTAAGTGTCGGAGCAGGGAATAGTTTTGTGTGATTTATGCTCCGCCGAGGCATGTGCACCGCTTCGCATTCCGGTGGGCGTTTGATTGCCCCTGGATGCCGCTTCCACTGTGGCTGGGAATGCGTGGATGTGCGTCACTCACCATAAAGATTATACGCTGATTAGGGGGGCAGGCGGTATCGGTGGTGTAATCCAAATATCTGACGGACTGCAGCGGGAAATTAATTAAAGCAAAGCTTTACGGGTGGCAAAATGGGAATATTGTCCTGAAACAATGATGGTTCTTTTGAGTTTTATTGAGGATTCCAAGTTTTTGAATAATAAGATAGGGATATTTACATTAGAAATTTAATTTAAATAACTGATTTCTGGGATTAGCCATGGAAACCTCTATTGAAAAGCTAGAAAAACCTTTGAAAATGGACTCATTTTGAAATATTACTCATACGCCCGGATGCACAATCCAATATTTCTCAAATAAAACCACATACTTTTACTTTAGTTCCAATTTAATTTAAAAAATTTCAGCTCTCTCCTTATAATTCTCTTTTTAACAGTTACAAACCCTCCATAAAATCACTCCAATTAAAATATTTCCAAGCGCTTTCTGTTTTCAACAGCTGGAAATTACGTATACGTAGGGTTGTCCGCCGAAATAATACTTTTTAATTGCTTCACCAAAAGCAAAACAAAACAGAAAAATCTACAAAAAAAACATCTCAACTATAACCCCGTTGTATATTTCATAGAAAACAAAGCAAAAGTTTATGGCAAAACCGAGATCTGCATAAATAAATAGAAACGAGACGAAAACCACAAGGCATGACCGCAGAAAAATATAAGCATACACACACACAAAAGCTGAAGCAGAAGTTGTTGCCACAACTATTTGATAAACTTTAAGATGTCAAAGTCGCCGGAAAAGCGGGAAGGTGGAGGGACGAAGGGAAGGCCTGATGGACTAAGTAAATGTCCGAAAATGAAATGAGTGAGCAGCGACAGAGAGTCGAAAAGCCACAAGGAGCAGGAGCAGTAGCGGAACCAGAACCAGGACTAGAACATTAAAAAGAAGTCAACAATGGAGCGTAGCTCTGAGGGCTCTACCACTCGGCGAAGCGCATAAAAAACGAAAGAACTCAGTCCAGACTGTGCAATATCAGCCGGCAGTCTGAGTGGAAAAAAACTGCAAACCAAACAAATGTAAAGTTTATTAGATCGTAAGTGGAGGGCAGGAGCCAGGAGAGGACCGGCGGAGCAGCGAGGCGGGGCCAGAGCCAATAATGGCAACGACAACGTCACATTGGCATCTGCAGAATGCAATAAAAGCGTTTAACCCAAAAGCAAACGCTTGGCAAATATGTGAACCAGCTATGAGAAATGTTCACTGCTCCCCAAGAGAAATGAAAATGAGGAAAGCCAGCAGAGAGAGATGAACTTCATCAGGGGAATGCTCTCGTAAAATTTAAGCTTTAGAAATCTGAGAGAAACACTCTCAAACAACTAAACCCTTTTGATATCTAATATATAAGTTAAATTTAATTGGTTTGATAAGTTTAATAATATTTTGATTATATATTCACTTACTACAAATTTTAAAATATATTTATATATATATATTTAAACATTTATTTTATAGTTTCATTTATTTTCAGTGAATTAAAATCATCCAGAATTGGCAAGCAAAAATACTAAACCATTGAAAGAGCATCAAAATAGCAGGAAGCATAGCAACTAACAAAGAAAGATCATAAAAATGATTTAGCAAACATGAAATACCCGGTAGCCAAGGTGAAAATGCAGGGAAAAAGTTCTGTGAAAATTGGAAAACTACAATGAAAGACTGTCAATTGAATTTGCTTTGGCTTTGTGTTTCTGACAAGAGAGAAAACCGGAACAGAAACGAAATTTTTCGATTGCATTAATTGAGAGAACTTCCATTTCATATCAGTTGCCATTTGCTAATGTTCTGGAAAATATTTGAATTTTTGCTCGAATCACAAACAAAACAACACAAACAAATAGCCAGGCCTCTAATCAGGAAAATATTTTTGAGACTTAAAGCCAGTAGTCATGAATATGCCAATAATGACTCGATTCCGATGTGTGATCTCGTCTACTGCGTCAGCGTTTGTTGTGCCCGCTTTTTGTTGTAGCTTGTTCCGATATGTCAGGGAGTTAGTTCCATGTTATGGCCATAAATCAAGCCGAAAATTCAAATGTTATCGGCTCGCCGGGATATTCCGCTGCAGTGTGGGAGAAGTCGACTCCTCCCGACTCGCTCCCTCGCTCTCTGTGTCGGCTGGGCGAGTGGCGATAAGCAGGCTGCCACTGCTCAGTTAGCTGCCACCGCTGCACACTATTTTATATATACATAAATATATGGGCTGTATATATTCTCTGTATATAATGCCGCCGATGACGATGGCCACGGTGACGTTCAGCTTTATCCTTCTTACGCGGAAGCTAACAGTGGGCGGTACACCAATAGGAATATTAAAAAAGGTTTAATAAAGTGAATAAAATATATATATTTATAAAAACTGCGAATAAATAAATATTATCCTTTTATAAGTATAAGTCTATGCATTCTTTTAATTTTTTATTTATTAATTTACAGATTTTTTATTTTTCCTTGAAATTTTTTTAATTTCTATTATGATATAATAGTCCGATTCATACTATTCTGATTTATATATTTTACTTAACGTGCTATACAAATAAAACTGCAGAGAAATATGCCAAGAAACTTACAATTAAAAACCGAACGGACAAATTGACGGACAGGCGGACAAGGCAAGATCATCTGTGCTATTGACACAAAACTTAAAATACCCTCTGAAATAATATAAATAAATGTTCTTTATGCTAAATACATAACAAAATCTGTTAAACTTAAAACCCTTTTAAAAAATGCATAACAAAGTAGCAGGAATGCCTCACCTAACGCTCCTATTTTTCCACCCTCCACTGTATTTACAAGCCCTGTGATAGTGGAGTAATTAGTTTGAGCGTTCCGCTGGCTTTTCCGCTCCCAATGACAATCGCTCTTTCGTTTCTGGCCATTTACCGACTGCCAACAGGTGGGCATATCTAACAATAGCATCGTCCGGCGATGGCGCTTAGCCAGTTACCAGTTACCAGTTACCACTTCTGACTTCTGGGCCAGATTATAAATGGCCAAGCATCTGACGGGTGGTGGCTCATTCGCACCAACGGCTGCAGCGGCAAAAGCTCGAAATAGAAACGTGTCGCGATCACCCTAAACGGTGGGGTTTTATTGGAGTTTTTGCAAAAATTTGTTTCAGTGTCGAGTGCATGGCAAACCGTCTTTCGTCCTTAAAGGAATATGTCAAAAAGGATCTCCGAAAAGGAAAACATTTTTGTAACAAAATAGGCTTTATATCGCAATCAGGGAAACTAATTCAGACTTGAATCCTTCTCACATCCGTTATGTGTTCCAAGGCTCTGGTGAGTACATCTGCATATATTCTTTAAAAGTGGATAAAAAGGGAAAGGAAAAAGGATACAGGATACAAGAAATATTCCAGTAAATCCGAGAATATTAAGAGGTTGAAGAGTTTAAACTGTTTCCTGAAATTTTGTGCAGATTTTTGGTCTAATTTGAACCGCAATTTAAGGTTCTCCTTTCTGAGGGATGCGTGTGCAGCTCATGTATCCTACATACTGTGCATCCTCTGCATCCTGTGCCCAGCTGCATCCGTTTAAGCGGAGCAAAAAGCGCCAGGACGATGAAACTTACATGAGCTCTCGACTCCCACGCTCTCCCTTTCTCCCTGGGATCTCTGGCAATATGCAAACAGTAATTGAATTAATGCCATGAGCCAAAAATGTTGACCGAAGACACAACACACACACAGCTGGGCACACACACACACCACACACACTCTCCTCGTTGCAACAGAAATGGTTTGAAAATTGGAAATTAACAAAAAGCGAGCGCAAAAAGCGACGGCACAAATTTAGCTGAAAATCCAACAAAAAACACACACAGGATAAAGGATACAGGACACAGATGTGTGTGTGTGTGTGTGCACTTTGCATGTTCACTGACAGCCGTTGGTTGCTGTTGCTGTTGTTCCCGGGCAGCATGCGAATTAGTGTTGCCACTCGACACTTTGTCCTGGCCCCAAAAATCTGAGCCAAAAAAGGATGTGAGGCGTCGCCCCACTGACAGCTGGCCATCAGCGCCGAGCAAAGGCGTCGGCGGCGGCAACAAAAACCGGCTTGCACTTTTCTTTCGAGTGCAACACGCCGTCCCCTTGCTTTTCTTGCTGAGTTTTCCCCCGCCCGCTTTTCCATCCCTCGTTACCCTATCACTTTCCCCCATTTTTGAATGCTTAACGTGTCACTTGCCTGCCTCAGAGTGTCGGCATGCAACTCGGCCAGCTGCAAAAATATGCAAATTAGACATCAGAAATGCTTTAATGAAAATTCCGCCTGCGGCATAAGAGCATGAAAAAAAAAATGAAACAAGTGAGATCCGAACATGGAATACCGGGCTTTTAGTGGGTAAAAAGCATTGCATATTTTTTTGCGGCTCAAAAGAAAAAGAAAGAGGAGGACTGGTCTTATTACAATAATAAAGGATATACGGTTTTTTAATTTTTAAAAATCTGTCAAATAAGAAAATAGAATAGGCTTATAATACCAGAAAAATATCTTTGAAACTTGTACCTTTATTCAGTGCTTAAAAAGCATTGCCTACTTTGTGGCGGTTGAAAAAAATAAACTAAAATCTCTTCTTTGAGAAGAACTTTTCTCCGAATGAATTGAAATTTTTAATGTTTCTTATTTAAGATAAATATGTATATAAAAAATCCCTTCTATGAATCTAACATACCCTTATGCACCCCCATAATGTACCGGGTATTATAACACTACCCACAAAAAGTGTGAGAACACTTTCCCCCCCATCAACTAATGTACATTTCTTGCTTCGGCACTTTGAAGAACTTTATGCTGGCCATGGCAAAAATGATTTCGCATTTTATGGTGGTGGCCGGATGCTGATTAAACTGGGCCATAAATCCTGCCTTCTATTGACAGCTTTCCATGACGTATGGCCGCCCTCGGGCAAAGTGCCATGCTCAACGTAATTATCACCACCAAAAAAAAAAACAAACTGACAGCGATGTGGAACTATCATCAAGGGATTTCTAGCGATAACCGATAAACAATAAACTTTGTTTTCAATTAACAATTCGCTTGGTTAACCGGGCTAACTGCTGTGGCAATTGTTATTACTTTGCCTCAGCAAATGAAATAAATTTTGCAATTAAAAGTTGCACTCCTTCGAAAACATTTGTCAGCGCAAATAAGCGTAAATTAAGTTTATTTTGCATCCACTTTTTTACTGATTTTTTTTTGCTCCTATTCTCGTTTGCATTCCCTCTGCCAGCAGCTTCTATTCCCAGTTGTGTGTTTTGTTATTGTGGCCACGTTTCCTACTTCCCGATGGTTGTCATTGTTGTCCTTGTTATGTCTATACCCTTGAAAGGGACATTATAAGTTTTAGTAGAAACTTTGAGGGAGTACAAAAATTTATAACAGGAGAAAGCACTTTTAATTTGAATGGAACATAGTGTTTTTTATTTGACAGATTATTGATGGGTGAACTTTATTTTAATAATATTTTAAAGTTTTCTATAAAGTTTTTGATTTTAAGATATAGCAGTTAAAGTGTTTTAAATTAAGGATATATAAAAGTACACTTGTCATGTCATATATGCATTCAAGGAATTTTCAAAGTGGATTCAACCCTTCCTCATCAGTAACCTTTGCTGATTCTGGTACCTGAAAATCTTTAATTAAGTCTGTGAAGTGTGCCTAGGACTTGTTATAGAACCTTGTTTAAATAAGAAACTTTTTAAATGGCACAAGATTTTTATAATTATTTATCCAATACATTCCTAAAGGGTATTAATATATTCGATGCTTTTACCCCTTATTTTTCTCTCTATTTTATTTACTAAACGAGTAGCAGTAGAAGGCAAGTGCTGCTTCCGCTGGAACTGGCTCTGAAACTAAATCAGAAGCGGAAAAGCCAACAGTGACTGTAGTAGCTGCGACTGCAACTGAAACAGAAACTCAAACGGCATCCAAAGCTGTGAGTGCGACTCACAGTCGCATTTCATGTTGTTTTAATTACTTTCTGATTTATTTAACATGGCAATGGCAATGGGTATGGAGAACTATATAGCCCCTAGCCGCATTGTTGACTGTAATTAGTTGCATTGTCACCTGAGTGCAGCCAAAGTGGCCCAAATAGAAAGGACAAAAACATGTCACCAAAACCCTAACGGGCCGAAGCGCATTTTGGCCAACAAAACATGAGCGGGCATAAAATGTGTTCAAACAGCCAAATTATATTTACATTATTTAAGTGCTGTGACAAGAGTTTCCACTAAAATTTCGGGGCTACAAAACAAAAACAGCAACAACAACGATATAGCTTTCACGCGAAATTAAATAAGCCGGCTCTTTGGCTCATTTTGGCTGGCCGAAAAATGTTGTTTGTCGTTTCAGGTAATTTTAGAGCATTATGACCCGAAATTAGAGCTGCATTTTCATTGTTTATTATTTCAGCCGTGCTTGCTGCCATAATAATTTGCAGTTGACCCCCCCTGTCATACCCCCCTGGCTTTGGCCAAAGTCCTTTTCAGAGCACGGGCTTAACTAGTCGTAGCACACACACACACACACACAACTGGCTCTATATCGGATATATATAGCACAAATTGCCCGATTAGCATTCGCCGCATGTTTCCTCCTCCTCCTCCTCCTCCTGTCTAAAGCAAAAAAACATGTCAGTTAAATAAATAAGTCCGGGGAAAAGTGCATTCATTCTCAGTGGTCATGTTTTTGGCAGCAGACTGCAGAGCATAGAGCACAGAGCATAGTCCTGCCATTCAATAAGCCATAAGCTCCTGCCAAGTAGCCAACCTTTAAATGAATGTTCGTGTTTCGGCTTGTAATTTTCGTGTTTTTGGATTTAGGAAAAACATTTGCGGCCAGAGAATTGGGGAATCAAACATTTATGTTTTACTAATTAAGAGTTCAAGCTTGGCTTGTCAGGGATGTAGTTTCTTGGGAAATCCTTGCTAATTGATTGTTAAATTCTATGTCAATTTGCGGACTCAATAACTATTTTTGTTGGCTTACTTACTTCACTTATATTGTGTAGCAGGGATTAGGGATTACTTAGGACAATATTTAGTCACTTTCAGTTGACATTCTCTTTAAATTCGGAAGTAATTTTGAAACAAGCTTGAGTATTGATCTTGTAGAGGTTTTATTTGTCTTGAAGTTAAACTTAATTTTTTTAAGGTATTATGACACTACATTGTAGCTTACATTCGTTGTCATAACCCCATTATTACATAACCGACAAATTTGTTTAAATGGAAAAGGAAACCTTTAAGATTTAGTGCTTACCAGAAACAATTGTACATTTATTAGCATTGTACATTTAACCATTTGTGCAATCAACTCTGGCTCTTCCTGTGCTGCCTACAAAATCCCTTCCTTCCCTTGCCAAGCGGAAACATGTGGCTAGCAAATGAGTTGACCTGATGAAATGAACCACGCACAAACCTCAAATTGCAGCTCAGTAATTTGCCCCAGCACAATTAATAACAATTGCTGTGCATAATATAATTAAAATTGTTTCAATTCCAAAGGATATTCGGGGGTAATCAACTCAATCTCCCTCTCCCTGGCCTGGGTGCCTAGTTAATTTACACCGCAAATAGTTTCTGCCGTTGCTATGACAATAATGCTAATTAAATGCAACTAAAGTTGAACGAACCGCCCTGCCCCTGCTCACGAGTAAACTAAGCTATGTGCTGGGTGCTGGTGAAATAATAATAGCGAAACCTCAATTTTTGCTGCTACTACTCGTATATATTGTGGCACCTTCCACACAAAAGTTAACCGAAAAAATTTCATTTTGCATGCGTGTGCTCAAAAATTAATTGGAATGCAAATGCAGTTGCCAGAGTTGCACTTTAATTGCATACTTTCTGGGGGGGGGGGGCAGGACGAAGGACCCCATAATTAAGGCTGGGCTGGACTCGTTTCTATCGTGACTACAATTACACAAACTAATGCCATTTAATTAAGTTCACACGTGCCACAATTAAATCTTCAACGCTAATTGATGAACGTGTGTAAGTGTGTGTGTGTGTGAAGGACATTGGGCTCTGGACACAGGATTCATGCAATTTTTCCTTTTTTTTTTAAACCAAACCAAACCATCTCACGTAGTCAGCAAACGACAAACAAATAAACGAAAGAGTAGTAAAGGTGTAGGACGAATCGTGTTGGGAAATCATAAATAGTTTCTCCCCCTGTCCAGAGGATGTATCCTTTCCGAATTAGGCTAAGCTTAGGATTTGGTCAGTGATGGGCAAGGTACAGGGTACAGTTTTGGGTTAAAAAGAGTGCCA